GGGAGAAGTGTTCGGATTAAAATGAATCAACAGCAGATGGTCCAGCAGCTGAATGCTTCCGGAGATGTGCCTGGAAAGGGATCGGGATTAGCGGGGCCGCTGCTCCCTTGTGCATGCCCTGATCCCGGCTTCTCTGGGATTTCCTAGCAGCCTTTGGATTGGCGTGGCTGGAGCGTGCCGGGGCCTTTCTCTCACTCTCATTCTGTGAGCTTGGAAGCAGCGCAGGGTGAGGGTCGGAGTGCCGCCTCCGGAGCCGGAAGGGGCGGCAGGGGTGGGCTGCCCGGCCTGGCGTGCTTCCCTGCCCATCTGCCCACAGCCCCCCGACTGCTCTCCCCTTGCCGTGCAGGTGTGAATGACAGAGGAGGTGCCTCCGGCTGCACTGACTGAGATCTCCCTCCGCCTTCTGTGCCAGGATGACATAGACACCGTGAAGCAGCTCTGCGGCGACTGGTTCCCGATTGAGTACGTCGCCCTTGCGGCTCCTGCAGCTGCTCTGCGGGGCAGGGAGGAGGAAGACAGGGTCTGGATCGTCCCGAACGGCAGGCGGGGGCCGCGTGGCCAGACCGAGGGCCGGCACTGGCAGCTCCCAGGCCCGGTTCCTACGCCGTGGCGGAGGGAGGCAGTCCTAAACGGAGAGGCGTGAAGGCCACCCCTCCAAGGCAGCGGCCCTTCCCACAGCGAGGCCGCTCCCGAGCAGCCTGCGTGGCCGAGACCGGCTTGCCCCACGCGGGCGGCTGCGGCAAAGGCGGCCCTGCAGATGGCGTGCGCCTGGCCGAGACCCGTGGCCCCTCCGGTCATTTGCCCTTTGGCCACCCATGCGGCAGGCCGTGGGCCCCCAGGAGCTCTGGTCCACTGATCGGGGTGGGCTTGACCATGGGCTCGCGTGCACGGCAGCACATTTTCCCGACCCGTTGAACTGCTCGTTTGCTTGAAAATATTCTGGGCCTCTTAAAGGTGGGCCCTTGTTTAGCACGTTTGACTTACAGCTTGCAAACAACACGTCAAGTACACCACGCTAACTTGATGTGTTGAATAACTATCTCAGGCATCTTGCAGTGATCAGAAGGATTTCACCAGAAATATTTGGTTAGGAAGAACATTAAATAAGGTGTATTTACCATGTATTGATACTTCTATTAAAAGTTTCTCTGTTGGAAGGCACCTGTTCTAAGGCGCAGTTGAATTCCAGGTGCTTCGTTCTGCGAATGTGGAAATGGATTAGACCCTGCAAGGGGTCAGCCTACCCATGAAGAGCCGCGCGGCCCTGTGCCGGCAGGCTCCCTTCCTGGGCAGTCACTGGAAAGCAAATTCATCCTAACTTTGCACCTGCTTGGATTGAGTAGCACCATATCCACCTACTAGGTTACCAATTTGTTTTGTGAAGAATTGCATCTTTAGACATGGAACATTTTCCATGGAAAAACGCATCAGTGGAAAATGTTCCTCTGAACATCAGGAGATTAATTCGATTCTTCCCGTTGTTGTTGTTGTTTCCTTCCCAGGTACCCCGACTCATGGTATCGGGACATCACCTCCAACAAGAAGTTTTTTTCCCTGGCGGCCACTTACCGCGGCACCATTGTGGGAATGATAGTAGCTGAGATTAAGAGCCGAGCAAAGGTGCACAAGGAGGTGGGTGCGGAGGAGGCCGCTCCAGCAGCAGGGCAGCCCACCCTCCTGCCCGCTTGCGGCCCCCCTGTCCCCCAGGCCACAGGGTCACCCCAGGTGCATTCATTGCCCTGCACAGCAGTGGAGCCCAGTCTGGACCGGTCCGGTCCGGTCCATTCCTCCGGTTTTTTTTAATAATGGCACAGCATGCCAGTCCTCATGGTTCCAGTCCTCAGCTTTGCCATGTAGAAGCAGCGCCCATTCTGGCAGCTGGAGAGGTTTCAATGGGGTGGGAGGCCGGAGGGCCCTCGTCGCTCCTCCGTTCCAGCTCCTGCTCCTGCTTTACCGCCTGCCTTTTCCGCGGGGCACGTGCGGCTGGAGGCCAAGTCCCATGTGCCTCCTCAGCCCCCCAACAGCAAGCGCCTGCGGGAGGAGGCAGCTGGATGCCGGAGAGGATGGGCAGAGGAGCAGGGCCGACGTGCGGCTTCCTGCAGTGCCGTGGCGGCTGAGCGCCTTTCCGCTCGTGTCCTTTCCAGGATGGAGACATTCTAGCATCCGGTTTTCCCGTGGACACTCAGGTTGCTTACATCTTAAGCCTCGGAGTGGTGAAGGAGTTCCGCAAGCACGGGATAGGTAGGGATACCTTAAATGCGTGATGCCACCTGCCGCCGGCCAAGCCGTGGGAAGAAAGCGGTTCCTCGCTGGATGCGCCCTGCCCTTTACAGGACGGCGAGGCGCGTTTCCCGGCCACGACTCCTGCTCGCTTCATTCGCCTGCTGTGCTCCAGGGCCCGGAGCGCGGAACGGTGCGTGGCACAGGCGTGGCCCTGTGCCCTGCCCACTCCCAGGCGTGCGAGAGCTCGCCGGAGCGGGCACGCTCCCGGGGCTGGCCTTGCGGCTGTGCGAGGCAGAGGGCTGCTCGTAAAGAAAGCCGGGCTTGCTTGGTGCGCTCCCAGAACCTCCCAACGCGTCACTGGAGATCCCGGGGAAAGAGCTGCGGCCCCCCGAGTGACACACAGCGGGCGCTCAAGGCGCTGCCGTGAAGAGCGAGGCGAGAGCTGAGAGCGCAGCCCGGGCTGCAGCGCTGCTCCCGGCTCGGCTCGCTCTGTGTGTTTGTGCAGCAGAAAATGCGCCCAGCGCAGGCAGCCGAGCGGTGGCTCTGAGCCCCCGTGCAGGTCCCGGGGCAAGCGGCCCGGCATGCCTCCACCGTGGCCGGCATCCTTTCTGGCCACCAGCAGGATCCTTCGGAAGCCATGTGTGATCTCCATGGCGTGTCCCGACGGGTCGTGCGGGCGGAGGGGCCCTGGCCCGGCACAGGAGCGGAGAGGGCAGCGGGTGGGGGCGCCCTTTGCTTCAGAGAAAGGCCGTGGCCGACTGGAACGGAACGGCGGGTCCCGCGAGGGGCAGCCCGGGAGGGTCTCGGCGGCCTCTGATGCACCCACCTCTGTGGTAGGTTCTCTCTTGCTCGAAAGCCTGAAAGATCACATCTCGACGACCGCCCAGGACCACTGCAAGGCTATCTACCTGCACGTCCTCACCACCAACAACACCGCAATCCATTTTTATGAAAACAGAGACTTTAAGCAGCACCACTACCTGCCGTATTATTATTCCATACGAGGCATCCTCAAAGATGGCTTCACTTACGTGCTCTACATCAATGGCGGACACCCTCCGTGGACAATTTTATATCCTTTGCTCACGCTTGGCCGGGCTGCGGGGGGACGGCCCCAGCCTCAATTATTGGGGTCGAGCTGGAAGGGATTCTTGGAACGCACTCCCCAAGACCAGTGGGATGTGGTCCGGCCCACGTCGGGCTCCATTTTGAGACAGGGTGGCCCTCCGCCACCTGTGCTGCTCCCCCCAGGGACCCTTAATGGCGCAGCATCCTGGTCCGAAGGGCCAGAGCCCAGTGGGGCGAGCGTCCAGCAGTCGGCCACTGGGCCAACGACTTCGACCCTGGCTCCCCGTAGTTAGAGTGGGCCACCAGGCTGCGGTTCTGGGACTGACCGCCAAGCTGCCAAAAATACGATCCCTGATTGGTTCTGCTGGCTTTGGTTTGCGGTGTTACTGCCGGGGGGGGGGTGTCAGGGTTAACATGCACCCCCCTTCCCATGAAGGGCTTCCTCCGGGGTGACCAGTCGTACTGCCGCCTGCCCCCCCCCATCGGCCCCCTCGGCTGCTCCGCCACGGTGGTTGCGGTTCCTTAGCAGCGGTGCACCGACTATCTCCAGCACCTCGGCTCCACCCTGGCCAGTCTGAGCCCCTGCACCATCCCGCAGCGGATCTACCGCCAGGCCCAGAGCCTCCTCTGCAGCCTCTTGCCGTGGCCGGGCGTTTCCGCGAAGAGCGGCATCGAGTACAGCCGGACCATGTGACGCCAAGGTGGGCCGCTGTCCCGTTCTGCAGGCGCGCCTCCATCCAAGGCGGAGAGGCGCCTGTGCCAAGAACCGCGGGCACCTGCAGCCGGTCAGAGCCGCTCCCTGCCAGCCTCACGCCTCCTGCGCCGGGCCATCGCCCCATGCCGGCACACTGCAGACACGCATCCTGCAGCCCGGCTGAGATTTGGGAGGGACGAGACGCAGGCTCCTTGGACTGCCCGCTGCCAGCCTGTCGCAGCCCGCTTAGCCCGGCGGCAGTCCAGCAGTTCCCTCCACCCCTCGGCCGGCCGCCTCCGCTCGGAAGTCCCCTCCAGTCCTCTGCCTCAGGCCCAGGTCAACGGGCGCCCCTTCCCAAATCCGTTCGGGGGGCGCAGGGCCCCTTCCCGGGGTGGCCTGGCAGGCCAATGGAGGCGTTCCTCTTGCTGTGTTCTGAACAGTGGCTCTCTCGCAGGCGTGCCCTTCCTGGCGCGGCTGCAAGCGCCGCAGCCCACAGTGCCGAAGCGGACAATGCTCGGGACCCCCGAGCCCGGTGCCCCTGCGGACCAGTCGGCACCTGGCAGACGTCCTCTCCTCGCTGCGCCCTCGGCTGCCTGGAGGTCTGGGCCCACTTCGCAGGGCCGGCTGCCGGGTGACGCCGCAGTCCCTCCGCGGGAGCCCTTCCCGTGCCGCAGGTGGACGGCCGGGTGCCCCCGGGCAGCTTCACGCAGCTGAGCGGGAGATGCCGCACCTGCTCGGGGGAGCAGCTCGTGCAGAACAGGCGGCCTGCTGCTGCCCGAGGGGAGAGACTGCGTCCTTGAGCAGGCGGGAGCAGAGAACCCCGAGGCGCCACTGCCTCCTTTGGTTGGAGCTGCGGCTTCGTACTTTTGCGTGCTGCCGAGGAGCTGGGGTGGAAGCGCTGCCCCGTCCCGCAGAGACAAGGACCTCTGGCCAGCTCTGATTTTAAGCAAGGCACCCAATGTATGCAGGGCACAGGCAATGAACTTGCTGTTTCATAGTGAAGTGTGTGTGTATGTGTGTGTGAGTGCAGCTCTTGATACACACTGTGTATAGTGTTCTGCCTCACATCTGAGCTAGACCTCAAAAGCCGGGGAGCCCTCGGAAGAGCTGAACCGAGACGCTCCTCTTGTAACTCTGGGAGGACGGAGGGCTGGGCCTGAGGAGCCCGTGGCTCCCCCCGCTCGGCTGCAGCAGCATCTTCCCGGGGGGGCAGTTCTGTGGGCCAGTCGATTTTCCCGATGCAGCCCTGGAATCGTGTCCTCCGGGCTGCCGCCAGGGGAAGCAAGCAGAGCGAACGCTTGCCTTGCCTTTCGGCTGGACTCGTGTGCGGCGAAGATGCCCGGGTGGCCTGCGGCAAACGCCCCGCTTCTGTCCCGCGTCTGCCCTTGCCTGCCACGTGCTTTGCGCATGCGCCCCCCGCCCGCTGCCCCTTGGCCACCTGCTCTGCCGCCAGAGGTCCAATGTTGCGGGAGCGCGGGGCGAAGCCGGGAAGCCCCACAGCGCCTCCTGGGGTCTCCTCGGATCCCTCGAGGGGCTGGGAAAGCTCTCCTGCCGCTGCCCGGGGGCTTTGCCCATGCCGGGCAGGGATCACCACACAGGGCAGCCGGGTGTCCTGCAGGGCAGCCCGGGTGGGGAGGAGCGCTAAGCGCTCGTGTGGCTCCGCTCGCTGGGAACGGGCTGCTTTGCCAAGGCCCGTCCCGTTCAGATTGTAGGTTCCTTGTTGCTTTGGAAGCGTCTTCCTGCATCGACTGCAATAAAGCCAACGGACATGCTTGACCCAGGCGCACACCCGGCTGTCCTGACCGGAGTGCCACCAGCAGGACTGTGCCGGGAGCCCTTTTGCGCTGCTGTGTGCCCCACGGTGCCCTGAGCCCCCGGACTGCTTCCTCACCCTCCCTGGGTGTGCGCGCGCCGTCCTTAAAGGAGGCGTCTGGGGAAGCCCGCCTTCCCTCCCGGATGAGGCAGTGCCACGGAAGCAGCAGGGAGGCTGAGCCCATAGGAAGCCAAAGCGGCAAAGACCGCCCTGCGTTCGTGGCAGGAGGATGCTGGGAGGGCACCGGGCCGGGGGGGGGGGCTGCCTCCTGGGCCCCGGGGTGGCTGAGCACCCAAGGTTCTCTCGCCCCAGGTGGGCACAGCCATTTCCCAGCTCTGAGACTCGCACTTTCCGGTCTGGGTGAATAAAGCAACTCTTCCTTCTTCGGAGGGAGCTTTCTTGGGAAAAGAGCTCTCCGGGACCTGAAGGGAAGGACGGCAGCCGGGCAGGGCTGGCAACTCAGGCGCTGGCATCAGGCAGGGCTTCCCCCGCGCCCTCATTCCCCGGTGCCAGCCAGCGAGTTCCGCGTCCTGCTGGGCCCAGCGAGGCGCTCGTGGCGTTGGCCACCATTCATATCCAGAGATGTGCCCCTCATCCTCGGTACAGGGAGCCGCGTCGGGCCAGCTACTGGCTGGTCCCCAGTGGCAAGGACCAGACTGGGCAGGGGGAGGACGAGCCTGCTTGGCATGGGGGGCGGGCACTCGCGGGCACATCCTGGGCAGACACAGCCAGTGATCAGGTCCTTCCTGCCCTGCTTGACGGCACCGACCGAGCTGTCCGTTGAGCGAAAGGTTTGGGAACGGATCAGGTCAAGAGGCACTCGACAAACATTTCTCTGAAATGGCCCCCGAAGGTGGAAGCAGGAGAGGCCACTGAACCACCCATCATTGCGCGTGATCTTTACGTGTGCTTGTTTCCCCTTTGCTTGAGAATGTCCTTAGTCGATAGGATTGCGGTGTGTGACATGGTTTTCCTTCTACGGCTCTGCACACCGCTGCCCTCCTCCTCGCCGCTTGTGTGGGCCTGTCTGTCGTGTGCACTCGCCGCTCCTCGAGAGGCAGCTCCTGGGGGGACGGCCTCCTCTGGGGGTCCCTCCTGTCGTACCTTATTTATTGACCAGCAAAAGTCAGCCGGTCCCCTGACACGACTTTGATTAAAAACGTTTGTCTTGTTTGTGGTGCTCCTGTCGTCTTTGTCCTGTTTGCATACCACGTCTGAGCGAGGGCGCAGGGACATTGGGAGAGCTGCTTCTATCCGTTTCAGGCTTTTCCTAGTCTGGTGTCTCACTTCAGTTCTACAAAGGTTCGGCCTGAGCTGTTCTGGATTTGGAGTCTTTGCTGAGATCCCCAAGCAAAATCACCATTAAAGCAGGTATTTGACCGTCCTGCAGGCCGAATCTGCCAGGCTTCTGATGGCCACAATCCAGGAAACGCATGAGATTGTGCCAAAGCTTATGTACGGGGGAGGGAGGGAGGGCAGCGCGAGTATTGAGCATTCCTCGCCCTGAACGTGTCGGAGCGGCAGGGCCACGGCTCCCATTCTGGGGCTTCCCTCTGCATCAAGCCATTCGGCACAAACACAAAGACCCCCCCTCGAGCAGAGCCCACCTCCAGCACGTCCCACAAAACGGTATTCTGCTGTCAGCAAGATAAAGTCTTCTGGTGGTTAGAACTGCTCCATGGATATTGTCAAAAATAAATCTTGCAATGAAGATGCTAAATTGGAACTGAGCACGTGCCCCTCGCTGAATCGGAGGGAGGGAAACAGCCTCGCTGTCCAGGCGAGCTGCTCGTGGATTTCACGGCATCGGCCGTCCGGCTGCGCTAATGGACCCGCCACTGCAGGAAAGCTTTGCCGGGACTCTGGGCCCGGGCAAAGCCTCCACCAGCCACTGCTCTTCTGGCCAGCTCCTTGGCTACAGAGGCCACGCTGGTCGGCCACTCACCCACTGTCCACGGCCCCCCCGTCGCTGGCTCAAGCTCCGGCAGACGATGCCCAGCTGTGCTGCTGGTTGGGCCGCATCCGTGGGTGTCGTTTTGGAGATCGGTGCCACTGCCAGAGCTGCCGCCGATTTCTGCACGGGCTCCTTGTTCAAGACTGAGGGCGTGTGACGGCTGGAACTCGACTGTGCTGACGAAGGCATTGCCCAGGAAGGCCAGCGATCCCGTCACACACGGACAGGCCGTTCCCACCACCTGCAACGGCACCCATGGCACCCTGGGGCCTGTGGGCGTGCCATGCGCCGGTGCTGCAAGCCGTTGCCTCCTGCATCCCTCCCAGGCTCTGTGCCAGACCTGCTGCCGCCAAGGGACGGAAACAGGGCCAACCTGGGCGAAGCTGCACCGGCCCTCCCCTGGCCATCCTGTGGCTCAGGCGGGTCCCACCCAGTGGCCCTTCCCGGTGCAGTGGCCAGGACAGGCCCTGGGCGAGCACGGGCTGATCTTGGCGGTGGCAGTGGGGCCCTCGCGACACGGAAGGCACGAGGTGCAGGAGCGAGCGAGCGAGCAGGCAGGCCGGCCGGCCGGCTGCGGCAGGCGCAGCGGAGGTGAGCCCCACGCAGGATGGGCTGTGCTCCGCTGCCTGTGGCTGCCTGTCCGAGGCCGAGCCAGATCCTTTGCACCAGGTAGAAGCCGGAGGAGAGGCGCTTCCTGCCGCAGTGCCAGAAGGTAACACCGAGGGCAGGAGGGCTCATTTGCGAGGGGCCGTGGGGGCAGAGGGGGTGCCTTGCTTGTCCTCGCCCTCGGGCGCTTTGGGCGGGAAGTGTGAGGAGGCTTCCCCTGGGGCTGAGCGCCGAAGCCCCTGCGCGGAAGAGGAAAGCGAGGATCTCACCCAGAACTCCAGCCTTCTGGCCGCCCAGACGCCCTCCACTCCGTCTGGGCAGCTGGTGCAGCCTGTGGCCAGGAGACCCCCCCTCCGGGGAGAATCTTCCAGCTCTGGCTTCTTTCTCCTCCATGTCCGGAGGAGGCAGAAGCCGTGTGTGTGCAGGTGGACACAGCCGCTCAAGGGCAGGCTCTCTGGCCACCCTGGAGCTGCAGAGCGCCCCGCTGCCCGGGGCCCTCGCTGCTGGCTGCTCTCGGCCAGACCGGCCCGGGCTCCCCCAGCGCAGTCTCGGGTTGCAGTTCGGGCAGCTTGGCTGCGCACGACCACAATGAAAGCACACGTGCCCCCTCGAGGGCTGCCACCTGGACGCCCTCTGAAAGAGCATCGCTGGTCCCCAGGGAGCCGCTTCCCGGACACCTGGGCAGGCTGCGGGGCGCTGGCAGGCAGAGCCGTGTAACCAAACCCCGCCGTGGGGAGGCAGGCGGGGCAACGGCCACCCTTTGTCTCTGGCCCTGCAGGGGAGCTGCGCGGAGAGTGCGCCCCCCCTGCTCTCTTAAGTAGCCGCAGAGCAACACGGCCCGACGCGCTCTCCTTTGCAGTGTGAGACCCGGGATGGCAGCATGTCTGCGCACGACTCACCGGCGGCCTGGCGGAGGCAGCGGCTGTGGCCGCAGGGAGACCCGGCCCCGCGGAGGGGCGACCCTGGGGCCGGGCCTGTGGACGACAGCCTCACCAACCTGCAGTGGCTTCAGGAGTTCTCCATCCGCACAAGTGACCCCGAGAAGCCACCCGCATCGGGCCCCCTGGGCCACCGGAGGGCCCTGCGGGACTCCGATGCCCCGGCCAGCTCCCGCGCAGTGGATGCGGCAGCCGCAGGGATGCGCCTCTGCCCAGGGACGCCCGGCAGCGGCTCCTCGGGTCCCGTGCAGCTGCTGCCCCCCACCCCGGACACGGTGGACTACCGGACCAACGCCCAGGTGAAGCCCCCGCACTCCTACGTGACCCTCATCCGCATGGCCATGCAGGCCAGCAGGGGCGCCAAGGTCCCGCTCTCCGCCATCTACACCTGGATCATGGACAACTTCTGCTACTACCGCCAGGCCGACCCCAGCTGGCAGGTGAGCGGGCGCTCGGGACCCACATGGCCCGGGGCGGCTTGCCCCCAGAGCTGCAGGCTCCACGGGTCCGATCCTGGCCTGGGGAAGCCAGGAGTGTTTCTCCCTGTGCCCCGGATCCTCCCACACTGGCCCCTGGGCACCAGGGGACGCCACGGCCAGCTGTGCGCCCATCTGCTCGCCCCCACAGTGCCTCTCTGGCTGGTGCAGTCGGGGGGGTGTCGTCGCTCTTGCCCTTCTGGGACCGAGATTTCTCTCCCGCAAAAGGCAGCGAGGCCCCCCCCCCCCCGCCAGCTAACCTGACCTGCTTGTCTGCCTGCTCCCGTGCCTCCCGGCGCAATGCACACACATGCGCCCCGGGCCACTGCCCCCATCCCCCGGCCTTTTTAACTCTCCCGTCCTCGCGTGCTTCTTGTTTTGCTGCAGAACTCCATCCGCCACAACCTGTCCCTGAACAAGTGCTTCCGGAAGGTTCCGCGGCAGAAAGACGAGCCTGGCAAAGGGGGCTTCTGGCAGGTTGACCCTCAGTATGCAGACCTGCTTGCCAGCGGGGCGTGCCGGCGGGGACGGCTGCCCAAGCTGCCCTCGCTCGCTCCCGGCACACGTGAGCCCGCCTGCAGCCACGGGCCAGGGCAGGGGCCAGGGCAGGGGCCGCTTCCCCCGCGGGGCCCGGAGTCCCAGTGGCCGGACCTGCACCACCGCCTTGGCACGTGCAAGCAGCCATCGGCCCTGGGCACCGGTGCGGTCGCCTGGACGGCCCCTGCTCCGCCTCTGGTGCCCACCAGCCAAAAGCCGGAGCTCAGCTGGGCCTCTGCGCCGGAGGACTCCTTGGCCAGTGGCAGCGGCAGCTTTGAGGACCTGGAGCTGACGGCCGCCCTGGGCGCTCTGGCCACAGGGGAGGGGGCCCTCGGGGCCCACAGCGAGCCCCTCGGGGCTCTGGGCAAGGAGGGAGCCGTGGTGGCCGACCGGGCTCTGTGTGCTGTGCCGTGGGAAGGCGAGAGCGTAGGGCCCACAGCGGTGCCCGCCTGGGCCTTTGAGGGGGGGCCCTGCCTCGCCGAGGGCTTCCTAGCAGAGATGCAGCCATGGGAAGGGTGAGCTCTCGGTCCGCCGGGGCAAAGAGCGCGATGCACCGCGGGCCCGTCCCCCCTTGCCCTGCCGTGGCACACCGAGAGGCCGGGCCACCGCCTCCGCCGTGTCCTCACTCGTCATGGGTGTCGCCATGGGGGGCATGTGAGGGCGAGTTGCAGACAAGCCTGTTCCTGAACATGGCGTCCAGAGTGCCACACACCTTCGAATTTTCAGAGTCTTGCAGCTTTTGCTGAAAAACACGGTTCTTGCCCTCAACGGAACACGACTGCAGCAGCTGGTCAGCCGGACGTACAAGGCAGGAAGGGCCGGGGCATCTTTGCCGTGCTTGCCAGCCGCTGCTTCACGATTCTCCCTGCCCTCTGCAACCCCCTTTCCCTCCCTCTTCAACTTCCTTCCAAGCACTGATTTTGGCCACCAGGTTTGTTAGTAAATATATGGCCACTTTGTCTGGGTGTGGAGTTTGGGTTTCTTTCCTGCGAGCGCCTGCCATCCCGGGATAGGGTCGTGCCGCCACCTCCTACCGAGCAGCAGTTCAGAACAGGCGAGGCCAGAACGGCCCAGGCCCTGGCAGACTTCCTGGAGCAACCTGGCGGGGGCCGCAGAGCCCGTCCCGCCCAGCTCCCCTCGCCTCCCCCCCAGAGAAGAGCAGAGCTGGAAGCGTGTCGCTCTGCAGCCGGGGCGTTGCTACCGGGGGAAGCCCCCCGGGCAAACACTTGGCCCAGGAAGGGGCCCCCAGCGCACCGGCAGGCTGTGGGGCAGCGCTGCACTCCCGCGCCTCGGCCAGGAGCCCCCCCGGGCTGGGCAGCGGGCAAGCCCGGGCCTGCAGCAAGCTGGCCAGCGACGGTTAGCCGGAGAGGCAGACCGCAGATCGCGCGTTCTGTTCCCGATAACGGCCAGTCCTTGAGCAGAACCCGGGGGCTTGTCTGCCGCCAGCGGGAAAGGAGGGGCCACGAGCAGCGGGAGGGGGGGGCTGCAGCGCAGGGCCGAGGAGGGAGGGGGCATGCGTGCCCCACACACGCAACAAAGGGACAGGAGGCGACCCGCTACGACAACTAGTATTTATGCGGAACATTTCGAATGCTCAGAGAACACACGCGTCACCAAAGTGATCCTGGCACCAGCCGTGTAAGGCAGGTCGGCGCCGGCCCCACAGGCGGCATGGGGGCCGAGGGGGCGCTCCGCACGCCCCGCTTGGCATCCAGGGAGCGGCCGGCCGGCCCCTGCCCCCCGCAGTGGAGGGCGGGCAGGGCAGGGCAGGGGCGTGCCCCGAGGGCAGGCCCGGGTGCTGGCGGTGGCTGTGCAGCCGGGCCAGGAGGGCGAGCCCCCCGGCCCCTTCCCCAAGGCCCAGCCGCCCCAGACAGATGGAGAGGGGAGCACGGAGGCCCAGTGGGGACAAGCAGCCGGCTCTGCCTGCCAGGTGGGGCGAGACCGGCGCTGCAGGGAGCAGCTGGCAGTCAGCAAGCCTCCTGCAGCAAGCCGGGGGGGGGGTCCCCGGGGAGGGGGCCGAGGGGACACCCTGCCGACCGGTGAGCGAGAGCAAGGCACAGGGTGGCTCAGGCCCAGTCCCACACCACGGAATGACGACGGGAGACCAGCGTCTCCCGGCTTGGCTTCTCTTCCCCGCCACAGCCAGCCCCATCCCACCCTGCGGCCCCCCTCCCTGGCTGGGGAGCGGTTGGCGTGCCTGGATCTGTGGCCGGAAGAGCCACTCGCAGGCGGGTCGCCCGGCAGTCCTGGGGGCGCTGCTGAGGGGAGGGGAACCGCCGTGCTGCAGACAAGGCCGGGGCAGGAGCGTCGGGGTGGCCCCCGGGGGGGCCCCGGCAGAGGGCGGGAAGCAGAGGGGGCCAGGAGGTGGCAGCGGGCCACGGCGGCCCTCCAGCCTCGGCTCCGCCCCCCCCACGCCGCCCCCCACCTGCGTGTCCCTGGCGGGAACGGTGCTGGATGTGGGCCGGGGGGGTCCTTCCTCTTGGGGTGCAGCTGCAGAGGGTGGGGGGTGAGCCCGTGGTGCAAGCCCCTGCGCGAGAGGAGGAAGGACTGTGGGGCCGGGCGGAAGGGCAGAGAAGCTGCCCAAACGTCGAAGCCCCGGGGAGGGCTGGGGGGCGTGTGGGGGCCACCCTTCTCACAGGCCTGGTGCAGGGACAGGTGTGGTGGCAGTGATGGGGGGGGGGCTTGGCAGAAACATGCAGATCTGTACAGAGGGGCGAGTCCGTCCTTCGGGGGCCGAGCCGGAGCCCGGCGAAGGGGGAGCCTCGGCGTCCGTCTTGCTTCATGCCACCTGCTTCCAGGAGGGATCTCTCACGGGGGGGGGCGCTTCTTGCAGTCCAGCTGCCGGGGAGCACGCCGGAGGCCGCCAAGGCCGCGGTGGCTGTGGCCCCGAGCCACGTGCTCAGGAGGGGCTCTGCCCGCTTTCCAGGCAGAGGTGGGCCTGGCCGAAGAGGAAGGGCTGCCCGGGGCGGCTGCCTCCGCGGCTCAGCAGCGTGCCGGCGAAGTCGGAAGAGCCTGCCGGGGGGAGAGGCCAGGTCAGGGCGCCCCGTGGCCTCTCCACCCCCAGTGGCTCCGGGGAGCCCGGGGACGCCGCGTGGGCAGTCTGCCAGCATTTTGGGGGAGGGAAGACTGGCGCTGGGCAGCCAGCCAAGCCGGAGCAGAGAGAGTCTGGATGAAGGCCCCCCTGCCCCCCCGGCATCCTGCCCCCTCGCTGCCCCCCGCCCCCGGGAAGGCACCTGCCCACGTTTAGGAAGGAAAGAGAAGACGTACCCGCCTCTTCCGTCCCCACAGAGCAGGCGTGCAGGCCGGCGGCTGCCCAGGTGGGCGGGGCAAAGAGAAAGGAGGGAGAGGTGAGGGGGGGCGCCCAGGCCGCCCCGCCTGGACACGGGGGGGGGGGCGCGGCCCGGCGGCCAGGGGCGCCCTGCCTTCCTCGGGGCCAGCAGCCCGGCACAGCCCTCCCTCCGTGCGCACGCCGGCACTCCCTGGCACCCTTCCCCTCCTGCTGCCTGGGCCCGATCCGTCCTGCAGCTCGGCTGCCCACGCTCCGCGTGACCCGGGGCACGCCGGCCTGCACAAGAGAGGCGTGTGCATGGGGAGGCCGCCGTGGGGCGACCCCGCCCACCTGGTCTCCGGACGAGGGGGTGAAGCAGAAGCGCTCTGGCGGCCAGAAAGAGCTGCGGGGCCAAGGCAGGGCGTGGGGGGGCTGGGGGGGGCTGCTGCCCACCTGCGGGGCCAGCGAACACGCGGGTGGGCCGCCTTCTTTGAGGGCCAGAGGGTGGGCCGCCCGCCCGGCTGCAGCAGGGCCCAAGCCCCCCGAAGAGCCGTGGCTCCAGAGAGGCGGCCTCCTCCTCCTCCTCACAGCACTTACCTGGCAGGTAGACGTCGGCGGGCAGCTCGCTCTCTGGCTTGGGGGGGCTCTTGGACTCGCAGGGGCTGCTGGTGCTGCTCCCCTGGACAATGTCCCCGACGGAGGACAGCTGGCCACCTGGAACACGCCGGGAAGGATCAGCCCCTGCCTGTCCCGCGGGGCCTGTGCCGCCCCGCCAGGCCGAAGAGGCCCTGAGCAGCCAGCGGGACGCGCCCTGGCCCGCCTCCCCCAGCCGGGCACCCTGTTCCACGCTGCCTGGCCGGCTCCTGCCCCGACCAGTCCTGGCGGCTCCAGGCCCTGGGGGAGCCAGTCCGGACGGGGCCCCGCACCCACGAACAGCCACGACTGGCGGGGGGGCCTGGCACCCCGAGCTCCCGCAGGGCTTACCGGGCTGCGGCGAGGGCAGCACCTCGGCTTCTTCTGCTGTCAGACTCTGGAAGAGAGGGAGAGAAATCCAGCCGCCACTCCAGGCCTCGGCTTGGGCGAAGGGACTGGCCCTGCCCCACGCGGCTGCCCTGCAGCTGGGCCCACGTGCCGCTTCCTCGCCCACCCGGCTTGCTCCCTTTAACCAGGACAGACCGCTCCAGGCCATGGGGCTTTGGGGCCGCGGGAACCGGGTTGCCTTGGCCCTCCTGGAACGCAGCTGCTGGCGCTGGCAAAGGGCCCTCACTGAACGCAAGCAAGGGCAGGGCGCCCTCTGCGCCCGCCTGGGGGTGCATCGTCCTGCCCGCGACGGCCGGGCCCCGCGCCCGGCCTCGAGTGGGGGGCCGCGGCAGGACGGCCCCTTGCCCTGTCCCGGCCTGCAGGGGCTCATCTCCTCTCCAGCATGTGGATGGGACCGAGGAGGCCAGCCAGGCCTGAAATCGGGCTTCGGCCAGGGGAGCAAGACCCACTGCAGCCGGGGCCTCAGCGGCGCATTGCCAGGCGGGGCCGCCCAGCGCAAGAGCAGCAGGAGGCCCGGCCACCCCCCCCCCCCCCCGGCCGGCGCAGACCCACCTCCGGAGAGCTGCCCTCGCAGAGCGCGAACTCTGCCCCCGTCAGCGGGGGCTGCAGGTCAGAGTCCTGCGAGAGCTTCTCCTCGTCCTCTTCGCGGATGGGCGACGAGGGGGACCGGAGGGTGCTGGCGAGAGCGAGAGCGAGCGTCGGGACTCCGCCTGTGCCCCGGAGGCCCCTCTGCCTCAGCCCGGGGGCCACTCCCAACACGTCCCAGGGTGCCAGGACGCCCGTCACCACTGCCCGTGCAGCGGGGTCCCCCCTCCACCCACAGGAGCCTTCTGCCCACCCAAGGCCAAGAGAGAGCGAGCGAGCGCAAGAGGGAAACGGGAAGGCTCCCGTGGGCCAGCCAGAAGCCTCAGCCGCGAGCGCAAGCGCAAACAAACGCCCCGACTCCTCTGGGAAGGCAGGCCTGGCTGGGGGGACGGAGCAAGCGGGCAGACGCCGTGCCCGCAAGCCCCGGCGTGCAAACCCCCAGCAGCTCACCTGTCGGGGGACTTGCTGCGCTTGCCCTTCGGGTGGCTGCCCTCCACGGCGCGATCCAGCCCCACCAGGGGCCTGCCGGACAGCGGGAGCCCGTCCAGGACGCCCGTGTAGGTGACCTCGTCGTAGAGCGGAGCCGAGGGGATGGAGGGGGAGACCGAGCGCAGGCCGTTCAGCGCCTCCAGCAGGGAGATGGGCTCGTAGCCCGGGGGAATGTTGTCCGAGCACTGCGGAGCGAGCCAGGCCGGGGGTCAGGGCAGCCCTGTCCCAGGGAACCGGGACGATCCTTCCGCACGGAACGGAAGGCGGTCCGGGCTGCCTGGCCCAGGCAGCCAAGGGAGCCGCTCGGCCCCCAAAAGATGCATAAGTCAGCCTGGTATCAGCACAGCAGAGCTGCCAGTTTGGGGACCCCCCTCCCTCAGCTAGATGCCCTCCAGCTGCGCCAGACGAGAACACAGCCTGCCTCACACAGGGCTCTGAAAACAGCACATCGCCACGAGAGCCCGGTCTAGAAATCTTACGGTCCCGAGCCCCCTTTCCAAAGCCCAAGGTGCGGAGAGGCGGGTGTGCGCACGCCGGCCTCGCTCCTGCGAGGGGCATCCTCAGGAGCGGAGGAGCCGCGCTCGCCCTCCTCGCCCAGGGAATGCCTCCCCAGCCCTTCGCCACGCTGGACACCCCATCCGTGCGGCTCACCGACACTCGCGTGTTACCGGGCAGGGGCCCGGCCCGGCCAGACGGGACCCGCGCCCACCCCGACCCCGGCTTCTGGGACCCCAGTCCCAGGCTCCGCCGCTGTGCCGTGCTGCCCCACGGTGCCCGCCCCACAGAGCCGGCCAGGCAGGGAGGAGGGCCAGGCACGGCCGCACGAGGGCCGCCTCACCGAATGCTCGTCCTGGTCGAGGGTCTGCGCCAAGACGGGGCTGAAGGAGAGTGGGGACAGGGCCCCCGGCTTCTTCCGCACGGCCCGGATCTGCAGCAGGGCCCGGAAAGCTGCGAAGGACGGCGAGAGGGAGCCGCTGTTCCCCTGCGGCGCCCGGAGCCTTCCGTGGCCGGCTCCACCCGGCATGCGCGGCCATCGCCAGCCCAGCCCAGCCCAGCCCAGCCCCGTGCAGAGCAGAGCACCGCGGCTCCGGGAGAGCTCCCGAGCACCGGCCCCGTCGCACAGCCCGGAGCCCCGGCCAGGCGGGAAAGGGCACCCGTGGGGAGCACCGCCCCCCCGCCCCCGCAGAGGCGGCAGGCCGAGGGCCCCCGACTCACGCAGCCGGCAGATGGGGCAGTTGCTGGCCTGGTAGCGCAGCGTGTCGGCGCAGGAGTTGCACAGGCAGAGGTGCCTGCAGGGCAGGATGAGCGTGTCCCGCAGGTCGGAGAGGCACACCACGCACTCGCTGCTGTTGTCGCTGTTCTCGTCGTCACACGTCTGCAAGGGGCCGAGGTCCCCGCTGAGCGCCCGCCCCTCCGCAGGGCGAGCTCGGGCCCAGGTCGGCCTTCCGGAGGCGCCCCGGGGTCCCGCTCCCTCCCAGCCTCGTGCAAGGGAGACTGCAGGCCACGCAGCCCTGGGGGGCGAGGCACCAACCCCTCAGGGCCCCCGCGGCCCGGCCTGAACGAGGCCCCCGGCCCCTCACAGGCGGCCCCTCACCTTCGTCTCTTGGTTGTTCTTGTTCTCAATGCCGTAAATCTCCTGCAGCAAGTAACTGACTCGGTCCACCTGCAGGACAGCCGGGGGGGGGGGGGGGGGTGGCCGCAGCCGTCAGTGGCAGGAAAGGCTCCTCTGGGGCATGCTGCCCCCACCCCACAGGGATCCCCAAGGGTGCTCGCGAATTCAGCCGCTCGCACAGCCTACCCCAGGAGGGGGCCGGGACAGGAGCATGTGCCAATCCGGGACCATGTAGCCCTTACCGGGAACCGGGCCCTTTCCACTACCAAGAATGCAACAGGACGGACCGGCAGGGAGCCGTGTCAAGACGTGAAACACGGCGGGTAAGCCCAGGCCTCGCCCCAACACGCACCCGGCCCAGCCAGTACAGCGCCAGGGCCTGGCCAGGCGAGGAGAAAAGCGCCGCCTGGGACTCCTGCCTGCCACATCCCAAGAGCTGGGGCGAGGGGCGCGTGTGTGTGTGTGTGCAGAAAAGGTAGCCGGACCCCCCCCCGGGCCTCTGCTGCAGCTCTGCCCCCCAGCAAGGAGCAGAGGCGCTGCTCTCCCAGAAACAGCCCTGCCCGCAGGCCAGGAGGGCAGTGCCACCCAGGCCCAGGGAGGGCCGGGGGAGCTGGGCCCAAAGCCGCGGCCTCCGCCTTGGCCGGCAGCACGCTCGGCCCCGCGAGCGCATCGGCCGTGCAGCCCAGCACCGGGCAGGCCCCGCCACAGCAGGGGGGAGTGGCGCCCAGGGCCAATGAGGACTCACAATCTGCTTCTGCTTCAGGGGCTTCACGGAGAAGCTGCCGTCGACGTGCTGTGGGGACGGGGACAAGGACAGGCAGACGTCAGCCCCACGCACACCCCACGCCATCCGCTCGCTGGGCCCCTCCGGAGCAGGGAGCCCGTGCTCGCACCAGCTCACAGCCAGCGGCCACCCACGCGCCATCCAGGGGCCGGGGAAGCGGGTGGGCGCGCGAGGGAGTGCTTACCTTCTCGAAGGCGGCCAGGAGGATGTGGGCATGGCCAGTCACTTCCACGACAACTGGAGGGAAAGCACAAGGCCTGTGAGAGCGGCGCCAGGAAGCAGGCGGCCCGGGTCCCCGGCACGCCAGTCCCGCTCTAGCTCTAGCTCTCCCGAGGCTGGACTGGCGGGGCCCGGGGCACGCCCAGGACCGGCCCGGCTGCACCAGCCAACGAAGCCGTCGCGTGGGCCGCAGGGTTTGCCCCAGTGCCTGGGCTGGGCCCGTGCGAGGAGGCAAAGAGGAGGCAGAGCGGTGCCGCCGGGCCGCACCGAGCTCCGGGATGCTCCGCCAGCGGCTGCTGCCCACCCCGGGGGGCCTTCTGCCGCTCCGAGGCGCTGCCGCCTCATCTGCACTCCGAGCATGCCCAGGCTGCTCTGCCCTGTGCAAAACGGCTCCTTTTCCGGCCCCCCATGCAGCCGCCCAGTCAGGGGCTCGTCGCGCACGTGGAGGAGCAGCGGAACACGGCCGGGGGGCCCAGGGCGCTCGGCTGCCTCCAGGTCGTGCCCAGATGCGCCCGTTGCTGGGGAGCATGGGTAGGAGGGTGCCGTGGCACTCGCTCTCCGCTCGTGGGGGGCCTCAGGCAACGGAGTGCGGGACTGGGCAGGCCCCGGTTTCCCCCGGCAGGGCCAGTCCCGTGCCCTCGCCTCCCCGGACTCGGAGGCCAGGCCGGGCCGGGCGAACAGCTGCTCACCGTCGCCCTCGTCGACCACAGCCTGGATGACCACGGGGAAGGTGCCTCGGTCCAGGTCGAAGTTCAGCTGGAAAGGAGCGGGGCGGGTGCGTCAGGCCCGCGGCCGGCCCTGGGGCAGGCGATGCTGCGGCAGGGCCGGGCGCGGGCGTTCAGGCGGGAGGCTGCTGAGGCTCTCTGCGGAGGCTACGGGCGAGAGGACGGGGTCCCTCCGGGTGCCGAAGCTCATGGCAAGATGACGCAAGTGAGGAACAGGCAGTGCCCACTTTTCCTCCCTCTCCCAGCTCTTCCCGCAGGGCGGGAGAAGCCCCGGCCCACTTCCGGGCCGTGCAGCAGGCCCGCTGCGGGCCGATGAGACCCGATTCTGGAGGGAAACCGAGTCTGCGCAGCACCGGGCTCCGGGTCCGGAGCTCGGGGGAGATGCCAGGAGAGCCACCTCGTCATCCTTCCAGGTGGAGAAATCGATCTTGAAAGACGGCAGCGAGAACTGCTGGCTGACGCCTCGCTTGTAGTGCACCGTCTCCGACTGCAGGGAGGGGTTCTTCGTGCTGTAGCTGCAGGCGGGGAGAGGAGGACACCCCCGTCACCCAGGCAGCTCCTGGCCCCCACGGCTCAGCACAGCACCGGCTGAGGGCACGCACAAGGGTTCCGTGCCACCCCCAGCCGGCCCCTGGACAAAGCCCATTTTTCTCCCCACGAGGAAGGGATGTGACCTGCAAGGGATCCCAGGCGGTGCCCCCCGTGCCGCACAGGGCAAGTTCTGGGGGCACCGCCTGGGTGGCACACGCTCTTCTCCATGGACCCAGAACCGAGTAGGTTCAGGTCGCAACCCCTGCAGGAAAAGGGCTCTGAGCAAGGTGCACTTGGCAGGCTTGCCCGTGCCAGAAGGGGGGTCCTGCCCCAGCGCAGGCTGTCGTGCTGCGCTGCTCCCCGGGGACTCCGGCACCTACACGGCCATGCCGCTGACGAACTCCTCCGCGGCTTGGCAGTAGATGGTGATGGCCACCCGCGCATCCGCGTCGAAGGTGAACTCGAGGCTGTACAGGGCCTTCTGCCTCCCGCTCTCCTCCGTGGGGCTGTCCAGGTCTTCTTTGTACCTGCACGGGGGCAGGCCCCATTGGGCAGGGCGGTGGCGGAGGACTCGGGTACCGAGCGCAGCGCCTGTGCCCTCCCCACGCCCCTCTCCCATCCGCCTGCCCAAACCCGGGCCTCTCCATTGCGGCTTTCTGCCCAGAGCGAGAGACAAACGGAGTGCTCGTCCACAAGCGCCACGCGGTCCCATTCCAGCGTGGGCTGGGCAATGAAACATACGAAGCATCTTTCGCCCTTAAAAAATGCCAAATGCTCCAGCCCCATCGCTACGACGGCAGCCGGGCAGCACCGATTCAGCCGAGGAGGGAAAAGGAAACAAGCTCAGACGCGTGCAAGAGAGCAGAGCCCCACAAGTGGGCCTCGACGGAGCTCTTCTCACCCCACACGTCCAGGTTTCTCAGCGCAAAGCAGTGCCTCCGTCCCAGACAATCAAGCACGGCAGGCAAACGGAAGCGGGCGAGGGACGCTCCGCGGCTGCCAAGCGGGATCGCACGGCCCGCCTCTGGAGCGCCTTGTCCCCAGCAGGGCATCGGCCAAAGGCCCCATGAGGCCTACGCGCCCCGTGACGCCCAGCGCAACCAGCCGCCAGCGCCCGAAGTACCTGACCAGGCGGAGGGAGTCCTTACGGATGTTCACCAGGCTTCGCAGCGTCTTCACCGGCTCGTGGGGTGCTGGCGTTACGTAAGGAAACTGAAACGAGGGACCAGGAGGCCCCCTGAGGTAAGCTTCACGACAAGCCAGACGGAGAGGAGGGAGGAAGAGCTGGCAGGCCCCTGGCGGGTCTGCCAGGGTGGGGCAGCCTCTCCCTGCCTCTCCACAGGGGCACTCAGCTGACCCCCTGCAACCACGAGAGACCTCCGGACGGGGCAATAAGGTCCTCCTGTGAGTCCGGGGCTCTCTGGATATGTAAGACTACAAATGCCATGCTAGCTGGGGATGCTGGGTGCGGCAATCCAATGCATCTGAAGATGCCCAGCTTGGTGAAGGATACTGTGACTATTCGACTAAGAAAACGAAGAAAGTGTTGCCAGACTCAAAGTCTGACCGATGCCCAGCATTTTGACTTTACCCCATTTTGCATTTTTCACATTTTTTCTGAAACCTTTATGTCCAAAAGCTTCCATAACTGGGAAAGTTCTTTTAAAACAAACAACAGAACCTCATTTAGATTCAAAAGTAACCAAATTCATCCAACGCTCACCTGGACGGGCCTATTGCCAAGGAAGTTCAAATCCATGTTCTCCCCAAAAAGGTACCCCTCAGGATGTGGGGTGTCAAACTTCTCGCCCCCCATGAAAAAGTGACTGGCAAAGTAGTTCCCTGTGGAAAACAAGGACACACTTTTTCAGCACTCGGGCACCCCCCCTTTTTCCACCAGGGACCTCCCACAACAACCGTGTGAGGTAGGCCGATGGGCGAGCGATACCTTCAAATATACCACAACATCACAGATTCGAACGCACCGGGCGCAAGCTCTGCTAGCACGATCAGAAGCCCAGCTGGCTCAGTGGGGCGTGGGCCTCGGAGTGAATCGGGGAACGCTGTGCGGCTGCGTGCAGGAGGCTGGGGCCCCGCGGGGCACCCCGGCAAGGGACCGGGCGCGTTCTGGGCTGGCGTCGCCCTGCCCCGGTGCCACCACGGCACTTCGCCGCTCCCGCAGGTGCCACGGGCTGCAGCGACCGTCCTCGAGACGGGAACGCTGAGCAGGCGCTTCAACGGCTGATTAGTCCGACCTGCGGGGCCCTCGATTGCCATCCACGCAGCTTAGACAAGAGGAGAGGCCTGCAGTGCCCAGCAGGGAGCCGGGGCCTCTCGTCCTGCCCAAGGGTCCCACCTTTTCTCTGCTGCTTTTATGCCACAGCATTTGCTTGTTTGCTTGTTCGTTTACACTTCTTGTTTCCCACCCTGCACAACGTCTCCCGGGGGCAACACAGTGACATAAATACATATCAATATAGGCCAGCATCACCGACAAACAAACTCCCGAGTCAAAACACACACGAGCGCTCAAGGCAAAGGGAAACTAGAAAGGGCTTGGCCTGGCACCAACAGGGAGACGGCGGGGCGCCAGGCACAGCTCCCTGCGAGGGGCCGCTGCAGAGAAGGCCCTTCTCCGGGCGCCGCTCCGGGTCGCCCCAGCGAGGGCTCCCGGGAAGGGCCTCTGCCCCAGGCCGCGGGGCCGGATGGGCGGGCTTGCACGGCAGCGGCGCTCCCTCGCACATGCGGGCCCCCAGCCGCCTGGGCTTGACCGGCAGCCGCGGCGCCCCGCCGCGCCCGCGGTCCCGGTCCCGAGCCAGCCGGAGCGCGGCTCCGCTCCTCCCGGGAGGGCGCGCCGCCGCAGCGGGCCCGGGAGCCCCGGGGAACTGCGGCCGGCAGCGCCCCGGCCATCCGCCGGCACGGTCGCGGAGGAGCGCGGCGGCCCGCCCGAGGCCCCCGGCCGCGGAGGCTCTGGCCGGCGGGGCGAGGCCCGGCCGGCCGGCCTTACCGGACTTGGGCGGGTAGCGGTAGGCCGAGTTGGCCTGGATGTCGATGTCCTCGACGCCGGCGATGCGGCGGCTGAGCAGGGAGCCCATGGCGCGGGCGGCGGCGGCGGCGGCGGGCGAGCGGCGACTCCCCCGCGGTCGGTCTGCCAGCAAGGCCTGCAGGCCGCTTCCGCGCGGGGCACGACGGGAGAGCGAGTCCCGCCGCCCTCTCGGCGCGCCTCCCTTCGCGGAAGCGCGCCCCACGGAGAACCACAGGGCCCAGGAGGCGCCGCGCCGCGCTCCGCTGGCGAAAACAAACAGGCTGCCGTGCGGAGGAAAGGGGAGGTGCCGGGCGCCGTTAGTCAAGGCCGAGGCGGAGCCATAGAGCCGCGGAGGCTAGACGGGAAGGGACAGGCAAAGGCTCGCGCAGGCTTCCTCGCCCGGATTGCAACTCCTATCATCCCCCACCGGCAGGGCCTTGGCACCGGGGGATGGGCAGCCATCGCGACCAGCAGCCATTGGGAGAGATCAGGCCAGAAGAGCCCTGACGTGCATTCCCCCGAGGAAGAAACTCGCGCTCAAACGGCTTCCTCCCCCGCAGAAAGACATGGCTGCGGTGGGCTCAGCCCACGCCCCCCTGGCCGGAGACACGCGCTCCTGCCGCTTCTCCTCCTGCAACACCCTGAAGCCTTCCTTAGGCGCCTTTATCATTATCATTATATTTGTGTTCCTCTCACCTTGCGTTCTCTTGCAACGAACGCAAGGTGACTTTCAGGGTTTGCCTCCCCTCCCCTCCTCACAACAGCCCTGTGAGGGAGGCCTGGTTGAAAGGCCAGTCAGCCAGTGAGGCTCACAGCCGAGTGGGCTGGGACGCCGGTCTCCCAAATCACGCTCCAGCTCTAACCACTATGCACACTGACTTGGAATCGCTCCCAGCGTTGCTGCCTCCTCCTTAGCCGGCGTGGGTAGTTTGCTCTGACCCTAGAAGCGCCAGGGCTGACACCTTCCGGCACTGAATGGGGCTGCCAACTTTTACCCCAGAAGCAGGGAGGCTCCTTTGCTCAGCTGCTGCTTGTGCCCTGGAATGGTTCCATGGAGGCGGACTGGGATGGGGTCCCTGCGAAAAGCGCCAGGCTGGCCCTCACACCAGGCTCAGTCCTGCAATCGTTTGTTGCCGGTCTCACTCGTTCCTCTTTGAAGGCGGGAGTACCTAATTGGGCATCTGGCTCGCTGGCACACACAGATCATCCTTGCGATGGGAAAGCGGGTGGGGGTGTCGGTGGGGCGCGCAGGCGAACACCCGCAGCCAAAGGCAAGTCCTGGAAGCAGGTGTGGAGCCTGGAGAGGCCCCGGCTTTTGCAGCCCCAGCCGCAGACCTGTGCCCCAGATCTCTTCCACCGAGCCCCGACCGCGCCGAGGGAGGGATTGTTCTCTGCTCAACACCCACGCGGCGGGCGAGTCCCGAGGGGGCTGCGGCCGGAAAGAGACATGTTCCCCTGGTTCGGGTGAATTGCAACAAGATGAAAATTGAGGGATTATTTGCGGTTCCTCGCATGAGAGAGAAATGGGTGGACTTTGCTTCCTGTCAAGTGTAAACAGATCCCTTCAATTATCGGAGATTTGCGTGCTTGGATGCAGATCAGCGTATGCCGCTCGTGTCCGACGGGCCTGGCCACGCACGGCGCACGCCTGCACCGGAGGGGGCGCCTGCCCCGCCGCCCGGGCCGTCGGTCCCGGGCTCCGCGCCACCCGCCCGGCCCCTCCGCAGGACCCCGCACCAGGGCGGCCGCGTGACCGCTCTCCTCGCCGTGCCCGCCCCCTGCGAGGCCATTGGCCCCCGCGGAGCACCTCACCTAATTTGGCCAGGCAGCAGCGCGGGGGCTTTGCTCACTGGCTGTCCGCACACGCCGCTCAATGTACGTCAGCCCCTGCCGCAAGTATGCAAACAAAGCAAAGCCTGCTGGGAAATGTGGTCCCGGGTCGCTGCTGTTCCCTGCGGCTCAGCACGGTGTGCACTGCTGGGCGAGAGCGGTGCCGCAGTGGGACCCATGGCCGGGGGAGGAGGGGGCGGGCGGGGGGCTCCTTCAAGGCGCGACGGAGCAGCCCTCCTAGGGGGACGGCTTCACCGGAGTCCTGCCCGGAGCAGCGGGCGGCCCCCGATGGCCCCTTCCAGCTTCGCGATTCTAGGATTCGAAGTGCCCGGCACCGAATTAACAGGGGCGCTCCGTGTTCACTGTCGCCATGCCGGTGGGGAAGGAGCAGGCCCTGCCCGCGGTCACCCGGCGGGGCCCGCAGGAGCCGCGCCTTCGCCGGGCTCCTCCGAGGGCGCCGCCTCGCCCGGCCACTCGTGCCGCGGAGGCTTCCCCGGGCTAGCTCGCCCGGACGCGACCGGGGCTCCGCTTAGCGGGCACGCAGCGAAGCGGCTCCTCGCCAGCGCCTCTCCCGGCGTAGGAGGCGGCGGCGGCCGCGGACTACAACTCCCAGCGTGCCCGGCCGTGCCGCCGCCGGTGCCCGCCCGGCCAGCCGGGCGGAGAGTGAGTCAGGCGGTGCCCCCGGGTCAGCGGCGGGGGCGGCCGCCGGCGATGGCCGCTCGCTGAGGGGCCGCCGGATCGCTCGCTCGCTCGCTCGCTGGCTCGCTCCTTTGCGGGCGGCGCGGCGCGGGGCGGCCGCCAGGCCGGAGCGCCACCATGTCGTCCGGGAACGTGTCGGACGAGCTGAAGCAGCAGGTCATGATCAACCAGTTCGTGGTGGCCGCGGGCTGCGCCGCCGACCAGGCGCAGCAGCTCCTGCAGGCGGCCCACTGGCAGTACGAGGTGGGCAGAGGCCCGAGGGCGCGGGGTGGGCGCCGGAGCCGCCGGGTCGGGCGGCCTTGGCGGACACGCGGCGCGGGGCTCGGCTGGATTCTAAACGAGCGAAGCCCTAATGCAGCGACTGCCTCCGAGCATGTGCAGAGCGCCTCGCCCGGCGCTGCCGTCTGCAGCGCACTGAGGCCGCTCCGGGCCGGGGCCAAAGCGGGATCCTGCGCTGGTCCGCGGGCGGGCGCGGCGCGTCCGTCCAGCGCGCCCCGAGGTGGCCCGCGTCGCGCCCCGCTGTGCTGCCGCTTCCGTGGAGCCTCCCGAGCGCCGGCGGGCCCTGCCGCGGAGGCCCGCCGTGTGCGCTTGGCCTGCCCTGGCGGCGAGGGCGCGCGCGAAGGCCGGAGGAACGTGAGGGCGGGAGCGAGCGCGGGTCCCCTGCGTGGCCGGGAGGCGCGGCGCTGCTACCGCCGTCCCGCCCCGGGAGTCTTGGCGGAAGTGCCGGAGAGCCGGAGGAGTCCCGCGGAGGGGCTCGCTCACACGTGCCCTTTCCCTGGCGGGGGGCGAGGAGGCGCAGGGCCTTCCTCCTCCCGTGGCTGCCCCGGAGAGAAACTTGCCAGGGGAGCCCGGAAATGGCGGCCCCCTCCTCTGGCTGGGCGCAGGCCAGCCCCCTGGTGCCGGAGGGGCCCTGAGCCTTCCCGAGGGACGGATGCACCGTCTGCGGATAAAGGACCCTGAAGGAGGGGGAGAAGGGCCCGGGGAGCTGTCCTTGCCTGCGCCAAAGCCCCCACGGGCTGCCCCACACGACCCGGGCCCCGTGTAGGGGGTAGCTGCCATCCCCGTCGCTCTTTGCCGGAAGGGTCTTGATGAACGAAGGGTGGCTTTAAAAATCGGCGCCTACATTTGCAGTGGATTGGGGGCCACGGGGGGTTTAAGAAACACTGAGGTCTTGCCCCTTGTTCCAACTGGCTCTGCCTCACTTGGGCAGGAGGGCTTTCTGCGCTGGCCTCTGTCCCCTGCTTCCTCCCGCCCCAGCCGCGGGGCGTCTTGCAGCATCCGCCTGCCCGGCCAGGGGCGCAGGTGCCACCCTTTCCTCTCCTCTGCAGACGGCCCTGAGCGCCTTTTTCCAGGAGTCCAGCGTCCCCTGCAGCCAGCCTCCTCATCAGATGGTGAGTCGCCCACAGCGCCCCCCTTCCTCCTGGCCAGGGTGGGCGGCAGGGAAGGGGAGCTCCTCAGGCCTGCCTGCTGCCTCTGGCGGCTGAAAGGGGGTTGGGGGGAGCTTCAGCTTGCCACACCGGGGCCCAGCGGGCCCAGCTTGCCGAGAGGAGCCAAGGCTCAGAAGATGTTGCCGGAAGCTTTTTTGCTAACGAGGAGTGCTCCCGAAGTTGCAGGGAAGCTCGGGGGGCCCGGGGGGGGGGTGTCTGGGGCAGCTGGGTGGGACGTCCTGTGACTGACCCCGCTCTCCATCGCTTCCTCCACAGATGTGCACACCCGCCAACACTCCGGCCACCCCCCCCAACTTCCCCGACACCCTGGCCATGTTCTCGCGCCTCAAGGCCTCGGAGAGCGTCAGCAGCAGCAGCAGCCCGGCGGCTTCCATGGCGGCCTCCCCGCCCCCGCCGCCCCCCCAGCCCGGAGGCTTCCACTCAGCCTGGCCTGCCAGCCCCCCTCCCGGGACACTGTGTGCGTGGACTCCAGCCGCCCCCTCGCAGCCCGTGGGCTGGCCCGGCAGCGTCTCTCAGCAAGCCAGCCCCGAGCCCAAGGGCAGCGCGGCCCTGGAGGCGGAGAGATGAGGCGCCCGGCGACGGGCCTGAGCAGGGCCCCGTGCTCACGTGTTCTGTCCGAGGGGGTGCGGAGCCCCTCGCGGCCTCGGCGACACGCGCCTGCAGCCGGCAAGCAAGCCGCTCGCTCCCTCCGCAGGCTGGCCCGGCTCTCGTGGTGGAGGACCCCTGCCCTGGCGATGGGGGAGCCGGACCCCATGGAAACCTCAGGCAAGGCTCGCGCTCAGCCAGTGCCTTGTCTCTTGAGGGAGGGTCCGCTCCCCCCATGCCTCGTGGAGCAACAGATTACGGGCAGCCCTTGCACCTTCATCGGGACTCCGGCAAAGCAGCAGCACCGCCGACGTTTGCGCTGGAAGCCGCCCGGAGGACGGGGGGGCTTGTCCAGGGCGGCGGGGGCCGGGCAGTGGGGGACACGCACGCTTCTGGCTGGGCCCGCAAGATGCGCTCCCCGCCCGGCCCCGTTTCCCCCTGCGGAGGCCCGCCTTCCTCCTCCTGGGGCCGCGGCCGCTTCGCATGGCGACTCCAGGCCCCAGAGCAAGCACAGGGTTTGCCGTTTTTAAGCCGTTTTGTTTTAATAATCTGTGCATTTCCTTTTGCGGATTAAATCCTTTCTGACGTACGTCCCGTGGGCCGCAGCTCGGGTGAGGCGGGGCGGCTGTGCCGGGGACGGGCCCTCCCGGGGCACACTCGCTCGCAGGGAAGCCGCCCGCGCCGGCCTCTGCCCCCTGCAGGCCCTGCTCCCCGTGGGCCGTGCATGGCTGCAGGGGCAGCTTCCCCGGCCACGCTGCCAGCTGCGCTGCTGGAAAGCCACGTGTCTTGAGGCGGCCTCGGCGTCGGGGGGCCGGGGGTCCACGGCGGAGATGGAAGCAGCAGGGCCACGGTGCCGATCTGGGCCGCCGCAGCCGCTTGCCCCGCGTGCGCTCTCCTGGGGGCTGGAGGGGGCAGGTCGTGTCACGGCCCCGGGGCAAAGCCTTCGCTTCCCATGGGCCCCAGGGGGTCGGGGCATGCCTCTTCAGCCCAGGCCGGGCCCCCCTGTTCTGCACACGGGCACCGGGCTCCGTCCCCGTGTCCCCATGCGGGCGTCTCCAGTGCGCAGGCCAGTGCGGGGTCCTCTGTGGTGTGTGGCGTGGCGGGGAGGGAAGCGCTTCTCCTGGAAGCGGTGGCCTCGTTTCCAGGCTCCCGGTGTCAAAAGGTGGGGGGGGCCCGTCCAGCCGGCCCGCTCTGCACAGAGCAGGTAGTGGGGGGGCCCTCCCTCCCCATTCGCTGCTCCACTGCTTGAGGCGACCCGACTGGGGAGGGGCGGCTGTTGCTGGGGCCGCCCTGAGGCATGGGCCGTGTGTGAACGGGAAGGGGCCGTGTGCAGGGCTGCCTCTGGGCGCAGCCGGTGGGGTGGAATCCTCCAGCTGGCGTCCCCATGCAGGCCACTGAGGCTGGAGCCAGCCCCCCTGGCACGTGGGTCGTGGAAAGCCCCGGCCGGCTGCAGGAAGATGCCGAGGCGCGTCTCCCACGAGCGGCCTCCTCAGGTGCTCAGAGAGGAGGGGCCAGGCCGGGCAGCCCTGCCTGCAGGGCGAGGTGGGGCCGGGCCCTCTCAGGTGTCCGCCAGCCCCCCGCCAGGCGGGATGTGGCTTTGGCTGAGGCTCGCGGTCACCGTCCGGTCCATAGACTCCAAGGCGAGCGGCTGCAGCTGCTGCCGGGTGCTGCCGGGTGCCGCGGAGCCCAGCCGTCGGGCGGAGGCAGCTGGAGAGAGGGAGGAGACCGGCCTTCAGGGCTGCTGCTGCTGCCAGAGCCACGAGAGCGCCCTGCAGCGCCTGGCCACGGAAGAGCCACGCCAGGGCCCCCGCGAGGTCCGGGTTTGATCCCGCGCAGCTTCTCCAGGGGGGCCGGGAAAGGGCCGGAGAGCTGCAGGCGAGGCGGAGTGGGCCTGACGGGGCCGGGGTGGCTCCTAGTGGCACGACGAGCCCGGCAGGGTAGGGCTTGGGGGCTGCCCCTGGGCCCTCCGTCTCCTGCTGCCTGGGCTGAGATCGCCACTCTCCCTGTCCAGGCTCTGAATGGCACTCCCTGCCCCACGAATGGGCCGAGCCAGCGGCTGCGTGAACTGACTCCACATCCCTGCGGCAGGGGAGGGGGACACACACACACTCACACGCACCAGGCAAGGCGCTGAGGTCCGGCAGAGCAGACCGGGCTCTCTCCATCCGCATCCCGGAGGGCGGCCGGGGAGGCTTTATCGCTGCACAGCAAGAGGCAAGAGACAGAGGGGTCAGCGAGCCGGCAGGCGAGGCCCCCCCCCCCGGCGTCCTCATGGGGGGCCTTCCCAGCACAGCTCCCGCCTCGGGAGTCACTCGCCCAGAGCCGCACCTGCGAATTCCTTCTGCAGCGCCAGGGCCCGCTCCGCAGCCTGTGAGCTCACCCGGCCTTTGTAGAGGACACCGTTAATGCCGAGGATGTCCACCTCGGACTGGAGGGAGAAGAGGCACCCTGAGAGGGGGGCTCCCGCGGACCGCCTCCCCCACCCGCTCCTGGAGGGGTCCGTGCGTCCACGGGGGAGCCCAAGGCGAGGCCTCGCCGTATCTGCTGATGCTGCCACGGCTGTCTTTGCCTCATGAGGAGAGTTCCGTTACTTCCCCCAGCAGCAGTACAGCTGCTGGCGGAAATCCGTTCCCGAGACACTCGGCACAAGTGAAAGCAGACGGCCCCACAGCCAGTGGGCACGGCACTCTCGGGGGCCCCGGCTTCAGCGGCCTGTGGCCTCTGGGCGTGAGAAATCTCGCCCGCCGTGCCCTTCGAGGACAGCAGAAAAAGACTCCCAAAAGCAGCCGGTGGGAGCAGCAGGGGGTTTGCCCAGGGGGAAGGAGCAGCGCTGCACTGCGGGCCTCTTGGGGCACCCCCCAGCCCTGCTCGGGGCCTGATTCTGCAGGGGCGCCGGCCCTCCCCCCGGCTCACGTGGTCGTAGGTGAGGGTCGAGGGGTCGCCGTAGGGGTAGAGCGTGGCCAGGTCCGGCGGCCGGGCGAGCCGCTTGAGGGTGCCGGTCGGGTGGTGGGCCTGGCACTGCCAGCAGGTCTGGGGGGGCAGGCTGGTGCTCGTCTCCGCCGCCTCGGGTTCCCTGCAGAAGGAAGCCCACGATGGTGCGCAGCCCCACGGCGCTCCTCCCCAGCCCCCGCTGCTCTTGCCCCTCCTGCTCCCGGCCGTCCTGACCCCTCGGCTCGCTGGGCAGGCCGAGAGGCAGCCACGAGGCCGCGGTGCCCCCGGGCAAGGCGGGGGCCACGGGAAGGGGGAGCAGGCACCCTGGATGGGGAAAGGAGGCTGCCTGGCAGCTCGCGAAGGGGACCGGGCTTGGCCACCCGCCCTCCGCCCCTCTGCGGGAGCGGCCATCGTGGGCACTGTCCAGCTGCCCCCCAGGGGCTCCTCCTCACTTCCTCTGTGGCCGGGTCAGGTACTCGTAGCCGTTGGCGCTGGCGGGGCGGGGCCTCTGGGCCGGCTTGCGGATGGTGATCATGTGCCTGCAAGGAGAGGGGAGGTGAAGCCGAGGGGCGGGGGCCGCTCCCCAGGCCCGGGCAGCCCCCCATTCCCGCCGCGGCCCCAGCGCCCCCCGCATACTCACGGCCCCGTCATCATGGTCACCGGCCGGTCGCACGAGATGCACTTCACCCTCTCGAAGAGCTGCCTGCAACGCAAGCACAGGCCCTGCTGGCCCTGCTCCGGGCAGCACCCGAGCCCCTCCGCTGCACAGCGGGGGGGGGGGAGCCCCTCTGCAGCCTGGCCCCACCTCCCTCCCGCGGCCCCTCTGGCCCGCCACAGCCCCCCGCCCTGCACGCCCGGGCCGAGCAGGGCCCGGACGGAGTGGAGAACAGCCCGAGGAGGGCCGGACGGAGCCAGCACCCTCGGGACGGGGCCCCTGCGGGCAGGACGGCACCGCCGGTGCCCTGGACTGGGATGTGCGGCCAGGCGGCTCCGGGGGAGCACGTCCAGCCCGGGGGGCTCGTCGCGGCCGCAGGGGCCCCCTCACCTCTTGAAGCCGGCGGCGCTGTCTGCGTCGAAGCGGGGGCCCTCGCTCAGGAACTTCTTGATGAACTGCCACACGTCCTCCAGCTGCTTGCTCAGGGGGTCCAGCGCCATCCGGTCCAGCTGTGGGGGGCAGAGGGGCGGCTCAGGAGGGCGGCCTCCCGAAGCAGCGAGCGCGCTCGGCGGGGGGCGGGGGGGCCACCTTGCAGTCCATGTCGGTGAAGAGCTTCTCCAGCGCCTTCTGCCAGTCCTTGTCCTGCAGGCACATCTTCTGCAGCAGCTCCTGCATCATCTCGCTCAGCTGGGAGGTGGCCGCCTGCAGCTCCCTGTGGTTCACCTTGGCCTCCAGCGCGCTCTTGTCCGCTTTCTGGGGAGGCACGGGAGGCCGCTGGGAGGGGCACCCGCTGCGCCCGGAAGAACCCCCACCCAGACCCCCTAAGGGTGGGGGTGCCGGAGGCCGAACGGCCCCTGTGCAAAGAACGGGGATGGGGGCCGAAAAGACGGAGGGCAGGCAGTGCCATTCTGCCCGAGCCGGGAGGGGGCGCTGAATGCGGCTGTGGGGGGGGGCGGAGGGGCAGGCGGTCCAGGGGGCTGCTCTGCTCCTGGAGGGAGCCGGTGAGTGTCCTCGGCTTGGTCCCGCAGCTGGGGCGTCTGCGGAATCAGCGAGAGCAGGAGGTGGATCTCCCATCAGCCACAGCAGCCCGGCCGGGGGCCAGGAAGGCGGGGAGTTTGAGTCAAAGCACATTCCACCCGGCCCAGTGCTAAGCCTTCCCTCACAGATGCTGGGCCCAAGAAAGCCCTGCCAGAAGCTGAAGGGCCCCCACACTCCCCCCCGTCTCCCTCCCTCCCCCCTCCGTGTGTGTGTGTGTGTGTGTCACATCAGCTCAGTTCACAAAGTAGGAAGAGCCGCTCCCA